ACACCAAAAAAAAAAAAAAAAAAAAAAAAAAAAAAAAAAGAAGAAGCAAAAGAAAGGCAAACATTTACAAATAGAAAACCTACAAGTCTAAGAGAAACAACACACAACAAGTCAATTTCAAATGATACAAAAATGTACTAACTAAAAAAAGGAGCTACAATAAGGAATAAGCTATACTAGGATAGCCTGGGGTCTGAGAATAATTCGTTTCACTTACAGATACCAGGATACGAGTAAATAAAATAGGGGAAACTTCAAAACTTCAGTCAGTCATACATGAGCCAGAGACAATGGTAGGACCCATGGGCCCTAGAGCAAAAAGCTTCATTCTAATCCTAGGTGTGGAGATTCTGGTCTGTGAAGCAAATTTCTTTCTCTGTCAATTTTGCTAGAAGGCACGTGTACTTGCTGGAAAGGGGGAGGGGGAGAAAAAGTGACAGAGGGAATGTGAGGAAGCATGGGGAATGACAGATCACAATCCCTTCTCCTTTCTCCATTTGGGATTTTGGACGTGCATTTACATGCATGTGTACCCAGTGTGTATTTTAAGCTGGCAAGCCTGGGACTCAAACTGCACAATTAGCCATGTGAGATCACACCACCTTAATCACCACACTACCCACTGGCTTAGTTTCTTCTGATTTCAGTTCTGTAGCGTTTTTAAGAATGGTGTACGGATTATATAAGAAAACGAATGTTTGGAAAAGCCAAGCAGAGTAGCAGTTTATTAACTAATACCCAAAAACAGAGAAGTAAAGTTAAGAGGAGCATGTAAAGGAGATACCATTAAAACATGCAATAAAATGGTTGCATGTGATAAATGATATTATTAACCATTCTTTTGTTATCCCCTCCAGAGTTAAATCTTACCTAATCATTTAGAAATATTTTAAAAGTATAATGTACTGTTTAAAATATACCATTTAACCTATAATATTCATTTTACATACTTTACTCTTTTTCCAGGTTAGAACCCTAAACTGACCATATTTATTTACAAAGGGTTGACATCAACTTGAGTTATTAATGTCATTAAACTTTTCAGAGATATGACTTCAGAGGTGTGCTTACAGTTATGTCAGTCTTATCTAAAACTTCATGAACAGTTTTTCTGGAATTACAAAGAAGCTTTATTTATTATCACATAGCTACTAACCTGGTTTTTCTTGTGACTGTATCATTGAAGATATTCCATATCTCTCTTTAGCATAATCCTAGGAAAAACGATTTCACATTATGACTTTTTATTTAAACATTATCAGGATAGTAAGTCACATAAATACAGACAACAGATCATAAAAATAAATTTAATTTTTAAGATCATTTTATTGATTCAGAGTCAGGAGTTTTAAGTGTGAAAATCTGTCCTATCTTTTGCTCTATAGAAAAAAGAAAAGTATGCAGAATTTCTGGTAAGTTTGTTTTGAAGATCATCATTCCTGGACGGATATACCATACATAATAGCACTCCTCAGATAAAATTAACACATGTGTAGAACACATCTTAACTATCTTTTTCAAAAGGAGATTAAACTACTTCAAAGCAAGGATATAAATTTCCTCCGTGAAGGGAGCAGGATGAAGTACCCCAGTTTTATTAACTTCCTATTACAGGAAGAGATGTTCAAAGAGAACCAACGTTTTGGGTAACCTTTCTAAGTACCAGATGTCTACTGTTTTCAGAAATTGGAGATGCTGGATGGATATAAGCTAACTACAACTTTCCTTTTGTAAAACATCACCAAAAATTTCACCAGCTTCCTGTTTCTAAATGACAGCCCAGAAGACCAGATTACAAGGGCTGGACAGTGACAATGTAATAATATCACATTACTTGCTAGATTTAAAGCTAGAGACAGGAAAAAGGAGAGCTAGGGTTCAGACTTTTAATAAACTATACTATTAAATAAATAAGTGGCCTTTAATTTTAATCTTACTTCTAAAAGGATCTTTTAAGATCCTTCTAGCTACAAAAATATGTAACTCAGTCACAAAAATCTTCCTTGTATCTATGCTATCTATAAGGGGACACTGGTAGTTTATATGTCAGATCAAGACTCCACAAAAATAATATTAGATTTTTACAAGGTAACTTGACATCTACATGAAACAATTAGTTTCTGTCTCTCTACAGCTGTCTGTTGGGATCTTTTCTTTTAGCTTTGTAGAATGTTAGGTTTTGTGTTTATACCAACATAAACCAGACATGTTAAGGTGCTTACAAGATCTTGTTTTGGAAAAAAAAAAAAAAGTATGAAGGACAAAGATAACTCCAGCCTGAGTAGACTGATACAGTCACACACAGAGTGGGAGGGCAGTATAAAGCATGTGAAGAGAAAGGAGTCTTTCACCATATGAAATAGCACTATTCGTGTTTCGGCACCCCTTATTCCATTTAGAACGGAGATGACCTACTCCTTATTTATTTACCACAAATTCAGAGTTCAAGAGAAAAACTAGGAGCCAGGCAGAGATTAAGGCTCAGTATTACCAAAGAACACAAAACTTGTAGGAGGTTTTCAAACTTTCACTTCTACGAAGCACTGGGAGTTCTGCTATTCTGTGATTTGGGGCCATTTCATCTCAAATGCATTCTCTGAAACCTTTGCTACCTACCTCACTGGGTCACCAAGAAGAAAAATAAAAAGGACCAGTGTTCGTTAAAGCTGTCACATGGAAAATGGTCATTAAACATACTGGCAGATGGCTCTGCGCGGTATTGTCATCGGCTAAAACATTAGGAACACGCGGGCGGAGTGCACCCTGATCACTAACTTGGTGGGAGAGGAGTGCATTACGTGCAGGACGTGCCTAACCCAGAGAGGTTTAAGTGAGGCCGGCAGCCACTTCCGGGGCAGGCTGTGTGTGCTTCACGTCCACCCCGTCCCAGGGACACGTCTAGGCCAGGACTCCCAGCGACCCCGTGAGAAATGCGGTCTGCAGTGGTCTGGCCACGCCGCTCGAGCAAGGGTCCTGGAGGCCCCGTGGGGGCTCTGGGCGCCCCGAACCCAGGCCCGCGGCCTCCATGGCAAGCGCTGACAGGGGACCCCGAGGACTGGGCCCTGCTCACCCCACTCCCTCCCTCTGCGCGATCCAGCGCAGGGGTGAGTCCTCCCAGGCCCGGGAAAGGAGGAAACCCACTTCTGCCGCGTCCATGATCTCCCGCGGCTTCTCCTGACCCTTGCGGCTGGCGTTGGCGCTGGGCATCTGGACGTCGGATGGGGCAGTGGACACTACCCTCCCTCGCAGGCTTCCGTAGGGCAGGCCAAAGGGGCTTTCCTTCCCCGCAGTCTCCGCCCTCCCGGCCCTCCGGCCCTCCTGGCTTGGAACACGCGCTCGGACTCCGCGTGGAGACCCGGCTCCGGAAATATCGCGAGAGCCAAAGTTCTCTCGAGATCCCGCAGCGCTCGCGGCTGCGCGCCGCTCCTCCTCTCCATCTTGCCCTGCCCCTGCGGGGAGTTTTCCCGGGGTTGGAGGGAATACGCAGGAACTTGTTCTGCTCTGGCGGGAGTGGCTTGGTAGGGCGCAGTCCTGGGTAACAGGTGGTGCTCTGCAGGGGTCCAGCTCCATCCGTTTTCTGCTTCGCCCCAGCTGCGACTTAACGCTCTATTCTGCTTCCAGTCCTTCCTACTCCTCCGGGCTGTAACCGCAGATCTTTGACACTCAACCGAGCTCGGGCTTCGGGTTCCTCCCTTGCATTTCCCTGCCTTCCCTCTCCCCAGCGACAGGATGCTGCTTGGGATCCGAGTAGTCTGAGTGCCAGCCTGTGTTGGGATGCAGGCGTGCCGGGTTATGGGCAGCTGGTTTGCTAAGGCAACATGGGGTCCCGGCACCTAAAAGACCGTGAGGTGTAGATATAGACGGCAACGGCGGGACCCCATACGATCGCACTGATTGCCTAGACCTGTAGCACTGATAAAGGCAGTGCACCGTGTTGGTTGTCCAAAGGATGAATCTGCCAAGTTAGACTTTTCTAAAACAAACAAAAAAACCCCAGAAACATTGATGAGCCTTTCATCGAGACTGAGTCATTTGGGAACTTGTTTAAATACCCTTCGTTGACTTCTTTGCATCCCCATCAAGTCACTTTTTGTAATATCTTCACCTGGCACAAAGCAGCATGTCAAAACTAGTTAAGGGGTGCAAGTAGGCCCAGGACAAATGAAAGGTCCCTGGAGGTCTTGGGATACGTTAGTAAGAAGCTCGACATGGCCCCTGAGCTTGTGTCACTTACCATTTACTTGCAGGTAGGGTGAGATTTTATTCTTCTGATTATTTATAAATATCTAGTAGTACTTCGTGCCTGGCATTTTTTTGAGGCACTAGCAGTGACAAGTAAAGTTACAATTTCTGTGCTTACACAGGGACCTGACTCAAACTGGCTGTCATGGGGCTGGCAGGTGGCATGGTGGTTAAGGGCATTGGACTCCCAAGTGACTGACCGTGGTTCCAGTCTGGGACCTGGTGGCTTATTTTCTCACTTTCTCTTTCTCTCTCACTCTCTTCTTTGGTCAAATTAAATAAAGTAAGTTAAAAAAATAATTTAAAAAAATAAAGTGGCTGCTAGAAATAATACATTTCACATGTTGTTCCTATTTCATTGGCCAAAACAAGTCACATGGTCATTCCTGAATTCAACAGGAAAGAAAATGTATTCATCCCCTAGGAAGCATTACTGAATATTGGTGATGGACTATATATTCTACTAAAAAAACCCCATACATTCTGGGCATGCAGGTGGTAAGTTTAAGGCAGTTGGATCCACATGCCTGACTGAGAGGTTGGAGTCCCATTCTTGGTGGCTTGAAAAATCACATGGGACACATGTGTATATGTTCCCCAGAATCCCAGAGGAGAGTGAAGGAGAAGGGATTGTGGTGTGGCCATCCCCTCTGGGGGATGATTTTTCACTTTCTCTCTCTCTTTCTCCAGTGAGCATAGGTGCCCTACAGAAAACTACGATAGATTAGATAGATAGTCATGGGATTCCAACATAGGAAGGAGTCTGTGAAGCATGAAGCAAGGCTGGAGCCAGAATGAATTTGCAGTATAGGACCTCAGAAAGTTTGCTGATTTACAGCAGTACAAATTCTATATGATTTCACTTATACAAGATATCTAGAGTAGTGAAAATTATAGAAACAAAGTAGAATGTTGGTTTCTGGGGTCTGAGGGAAGAGGAAATGGGGAGTAGTTCCATGGATATAGAATTTCAGTTTTGCAAGATGTAAAAGTTCTAGAAATCTGTTACACATCAATGTGAACACAGTATTGAATCATATACTTGAAAAAGATAAGGAGAGCAAATTTTATGTTATGCATCTTTTCCCCACATTAAATAAACAAACAAACTTGGCAAATTAGCGTCATTTGGGATAAAGACAAAGAATCCTACACACTTTAAACAAGTTGAATGAAGCAGAGCTGAAGAAAGGAATCCCTTTCACCATAGCCACAAGATGCATAAGATACCTAGGGATAAACCTAACTAAGAAAGTCAAAGACCTTTATAAAGGAAACTATGAAAATCTAAAAATGATATTGAAAGTTACATAAAAAAAGTGGAAGGACATCCCATGTTCCTGGATTGGAAGAATTAACATAATCAAAATGGCAATTCTACCCAAATTAATCTACATGTTTAATACAATTCCAATCAAAATACCAGAAATATTCTTCACAGATCTAGAAAAGACAATCATAGAATTTGTTTGGAATCATAAAAGACCTTGTATTGCAAAAGCAATCCTATGCAAGAAGAATGGAGTGGGAGGCATATCACTCCCTGATCCCAAGATATACTATAAAGCTGTGGTCATCAAAACAGCATGATACTGGCACAAAAACAGACATGTGGACCAATGGAATAGAATAGAGACCCCAGAAACCCCCCCGCCAAAGCTTACAGCCAGCTGATTTTTTTCTTTTTGAGAGGTTTTTGCTATAGGGCACATGCGCTGCTAACTGATTTTTGACAAAGGATATCCGTCAATCCATTGGGAAAAGGAAAACCTCTTTAGTAAATGGTGCTGGAAAAACTGGATATCCACCTGCAGAAAGATGAAACTGA